GGCGGCCAGAACACAGCCAGCAGCAGCAGGCGCCGGCCGCCGCCCGCCCCGCGAAGCCCCACCCACCTGTAGTAGTCCTGCGCCCCGTCCGCGTCGCAGAAGTGGCAGAAGTAGTGGTCGCGGCGCAGGTGCTTGAGCAGCTCGTCGTTGTCCAGGTAGCGTTCGTCGCAGAACTTGCAGAGCGGGTGCCCGCGGTGCGAAGTGTCATCAGGGTCCCCCTGCATGCGGTGGCGAGCCAGGTCCTTGCGCGAATACCACTTGCGCTCGTAAGTGAAGATCTGCGGGGCATGGTGGGAGGGGCTAGGGCTGGGCATGGGGGCGGGGCCAGGCCTGAGGGCCCCTCTGCCTCCCCCTTGGGCTGGGAGCCCTGGCACCAGCCCCCACAGGCGCTCTGGCTACCTTGAGGTGCTCGAGGCACAGCTTGCAGCAGAAGAGCTCATGCCGCCGCCGCATGTGCTGCTCCAGGTCCCCGAAGAGGCTGAAGGGTGGCAGCTCGGGGCACTGCGGGCACTCGTGCTGCAGCAGCTGCCTGGGGGGGCCAGGGTACAGGCCCTGACTTGCTGGGCACCGCAGGGCTTCCGGGCTACCCACACAGTGCAGTCCAGGTGCCCCCAGGCCCAGGGAAGGGACGCAGGGACTGGCCCGACAGCCACACCACACTCCGTCTTCAGGGAGCACAGGGGGTAGCAGGGGCCATGCTGCCACAGGCGCATGGTGTAGCGAGACCCCCGTGCAGCGAGGCCGCCTCCTACCTGTAGAGAGCAAACACTGTCCCGTCAGTGAAGTAGATGTCGTATCTCTTCTCGTGCTGCAGTTGCTGGATGGGGATCGAGGCAAAGGCGGGCAGCTTCTTCCCGAAGACCACCTGACAGAGGCGGGAGCGAGAGCTGAGCAAGGCTGCAGGACACCCACAGCCACCAGGATGACCACCAGGGGTTGCAAGGATGCTCGCGCCCCCTGAGCAGTGAGCAGGTATCTTGCACCAGGGTCCCCACTGTGGAGGCCCCAGTGGGCAGCAGCCACTGGCATCTGGGGCTGGCCCAGGCCTCTCCTCACCCCTGTCCCACCTGCCTGAGACTGCCAGGGCCTCTCTACCAGCCCCCACCCAGAGGAGGGCGGGAAAGGGCACCAGGACTTATCACAGAGAGCTGAGCCCGGACGGCTCCCACAGGGTGGGGAGACACGCTCCCACGGCGGCAGTAAAGGGAGGCCTCAGTGAGAAGGCCTGGCCGCTCGCTACCCAACACCCCTCCTGTGTGCCCATGACGCCAAGGCGTGGGAGGCTCGCCCACAGGCCTGCATCCGCCCCAGCTGCTCACCGCCTCCCTCCCTGGGCTGTCTTGGTTGTGCTGGTGGAGACCCAAGGCAGGGCCTGTGTCTCGGGGGTCTCCAGCACCCTGGAGCACGGCTGCAGAGGGCCCCTCTCCTGTCCCTTTCCACGAGGGCCAGGGGCAAAGCCCACAGGCCTGCTGGGCCCCACCAGACCCTGGCACTGGAGGATGGCAGCTAACCAGACTCCGTCCCAGCCCAGGCCCTTACAGGCTCAGCACCCCCTTTTCTTCATGAGGACTCGGCCTGTCAGCCTCCCCCTCTCCATTCCCTCCCCACTCTCCCGAGGCTGCCCAAGCCCAGCTCAGAGTCCTTAGAGGGCTCTGAGGCCACAGCAGCACGTCCTGGGGGCCCTGCTTGCCTTGGGAAAGGTCACATCAAGGTCAGCCCTGAGATGCTTAGGTTAAACCGAGGACGTCTGGGACCAGAACAGCCATGAACTTGGGACAGCACAGAAGTGCCTAGAAGAGCGAGCGCCGAGCACTGTCCCGGGCAGCAAGTAGTTAAGGCTGACCCCGCACACGTGGGGCCCAGGACGCCTGCTACAGTGGGCTCCCTGCAGGTCTGCAAGCAGGAATCTTGGCTCTACGCCAGAGGCCACTCTCAGCGTCACATGGGTTTCCCCACATGGTTGTCCCCACACTACGCGTCCCTGGTGGCTCCACCCAGGCTGTGGAGAAGGCCCTCAGGTCTCGTCCTGGCTTCTCCTCCTGTGATCTGCCCTCCGGCCCAGACCCCCGTGGTGTGTGCTCTGAGCCCCTCAGGATGTGACTGGGACACAGCTCCGGGGGCTCAAAGCACCAATAAGCCTCACTCCCCTGCAGCTCCTCTGGGCCCCGGGGCCAGCATCTGCTTGCAGAGCCACAGAGCAGCAACTGCCCAGCCCCGCAGACCTGGCAGGAGCAGCTTCCTTCCCCACAGGGAGCCTGGGCCTAAGACCCCCATCGTCGCCTCCCCCGGGACAGCTGCAGGGAGGAACAGCCCTCTGGCTGGCCACAGCGGCCTCCTGCAGCACTCAGGCCTCCGGCATGTCGTGAGCCCACAAGATCCCTCTGGTAGTGCTGGGGGGACAGGTGAGCTGGTCAGAGTGGGCTCCCCAAGGAGGCTCAAGGCAGCGGGGGGATGGGATGGGCCAGCAACGAGGCTGAGCTGAGGGCACTGGGCAGGCGCTCCAGATGCCACAGAACCAAATCTGGATGGCTGCAGGCACCCTGGTTGCTCAGAGGGCCGGCGGTACCCAGGCATCAGTCTCTGGGCCATGCCGGGCTGGGCCGGGCAGGATGTGGGGAGGGCACACTTGTCGGTCCTTGAAGTGCCAAGACCTTCAGAAACCTGGAAGAAGAAAGGGGCCTACGTGGTCAGGGCACCGCCCGAGGATGAGGAGTGCAGGTTCAGACCCACACTGCTGGTGGGGACGTGCTGAGTGCCAGCCCCAGACTCAGCGCAACTGCTGAGGGGGGCGGGCCATGCTGGACGGATGCATGAGGGTGCAGTGGGCAGGCAGAGGGCGGTGGTCCACCAGGGACCCCCCCAGGAGGCCAGGCTGGGAACAGAGGAGCACGCGGGCTGGTGGGAGATGGCTGGCCTGGGCCACCAGAAAGGAGCCGGGAGCCAGCCACCCAGGTCCTCCATAGCTCTCCTGAAAGGAGGCCTGGTCCCGGGTCCCACACCTACACACCAGGCACAGCCCGTCCTGAACACCCTGGGTGGGCTGGGGGCCAAGGGACTGAGGGAGCAGGGGCCACAGCCGCAGCCCAGGACCAAGCTGGGTGCGGGTGTCTGTGGGCCGCCACTCCCCGCTCGCAGCATGCAACGGGCCCTCCATGCACAGTGAGATGACGAAGGGCCACAGTGCTGCCACTGCGAGTGAGATGGTGAGGGCCAGCCCAGGCCCGGGTCGGGGCAGCCTGGAGATTCCTCCCAGGCAGGGCCAGGACAGCAGGAAAACTCGACCTGAGTCAGCAGGTCCCGCCTCCTGACCTGGGCCTCAGCCCGGCCCTCCCACTTCCTGCCTGTGAAATCACCGGGTGGCCTCCGGCCCAGCAGGACTCCTGGGACAACAAGCACAGGGACAGCGCAAGGTGGAGCCTGTCGCGCAGATGTGCAGGGAAGAGGCTGGTGGCCCCGTTGCCCCTGGCCCTGACCGCCGGGACACGTGCTGCCCGGCTTCCTGGCGAGCAGGGCGAGCAGGGCCACGCAGAGCTGCACAGAAGGGTCTGGGGCGGGGTGCAGGGAATTAAGCAGCACTCAGCCCTCGGCCTGCTCTCCTCCGATTCTCACGGGGACTCAGTCCCCGCAGGGAGGGCAGGGCTCAGGGGCAGAGGGTCACTGGGAACCCCAAGCAGGCATGGGCAGGATGCATTCAGAGGATAGCTCAGGAGCGGCCAAGGGACTGCGGTGGGTGGAGACAGAAATAAGGCACATCGGACTGGGGCGCCCCTCCTGCTGCCTGGCAATGAGGGGGCCCTGGGAGCGCCAGCCCGATTGAGGCTGCGGGCAGGGCTGGGTGCACAGCCCTCGGTGCCAGCCCCAGGCACGCTGGCAGGGGCAGTTACGTCACGTCAGGACTGGCCGGCAGCAGGGAGGTGCCCTGAGTAAGCACAGGCCAAGCCCGCGGTCTCCACGCCCAGACAACTCCTGGGCGGGCGCCCACCTCCGTCCAACACCCAGCCGGCTTCGCCAAGTGTTTCTCCAGGGGGCAGGCAGGTGCCCACAGGGGCTCAGGGGACACTATCTCTTTGGTTGCTCTAACCTAAACATCTACTTTAAAAAGAAAGAGAAACGACCTGTCCCTCAACACTGCTGCCTGTGCGTCACTTCTAGGAAGAGGGAGGTCTGATTCCCCGGCAGCAGTCAGCCCGAAGCTGGCAACACAAACCAGGGGGACCTAACCGTGCTGGGAGCATGCATCTCCAAGCGCAGCCCACTGTGGTTTTGGAGATGCTCCCAGCCAGCAGCTGGCGCTGCTGGGAAGGAGGGGACACTCCATGGGGTCCTCTCACCCTCCAGAGCTTCTAAGTCTGCACAGGGTCAGACACGCCCCCTCTCCACCGAGGAGCTGAGCCACAAGCTGAGGACTGACAAAGGGGGACACTCCTAATTACACTGTGTTCTCTCCGGCCCAGAAGCCGAGGGAGCCTTGCCCTGGTGGGGGGCTCTGCCTGTCACCGCCACCCAACAAATGAGAACGCCGGTCTCCGGATCAGCTCGGGGTCACCCAGAAGAGCCCCAAAGCACAGTCAGGCTGGAAATGCCGACTTTGAACCTCTGCTTCCTGGACGGACTGCCTCTGGGGCTGCCCCTGGAAAACGAGCTTCCGACCTGACCATGCTCCTGTGTGGCCTGTCCGGCCGGAAGTCCCGGGGCTCGGTCCGAACAGCGCGGGCACCCCGCCCGCCCCCCCCGCCACGTCCGTGCCCCAGAGGCCGCTCGGCTGGGACCCTCCCGTGTCCCCACCAGGCCTCTCGCTCGGACGCGACATCGCCAGGCCGGCGGCCCGACAGCAGGAGGGCGGAGCCCCCCGGCGGCGTCCCCGGCCCCGCGGCGCACCTGGCGCAGCTCCTCGCGGCACACGGCGCAGTAGCGCTGCTCGCACAGCACCCGCATCTTGGTGGAGCAGCGGTAGCACACCGGGTGGTCGCAGCGGCCCAGCGCCGTGGCTTCCAGGTCCCCGCAGCACAGCACACAGCTCCCGCCGCCCCGCTCG